GAAAGTGTCACAGTGCCTGATCTATAGATGCTCAAGAATACTAGTGTCCTTCCCTAGAACACTTCCCATGTAGCATGACATATACTCCAGAAACATGGTTTGTGACTGACGGGACATTGGTGGCAGTGGACAGCCTCTCCCATCACAAATAACTTAGCCTATCTCAAACCCTTCCCAGCAAGGCTCCATCCACAGTGTGTCTGTCTAGTGTTTGGGTTCAGCTCAGCCTCATGGGCATTCCCCATTCTGGGAGATGCTTTCTTTCCCAAGGATCCACTCCCACCTCTTTGGCATGGAAGCCTCCTCTGCTACCTGTCGTTATGGATGCACCTTATGTGTCGAAAGCTGGTTTCTGAGTTTTATCACTCAGATTTATGAGACATTGTTTTTGTGGCCTCACTGACTGAGAAGCTTAAACTAGAAAAAGGTGCATTTCAATCTTGGATGTGGCCCATCATAGGATAGTGCCAGAAGACAGGTGAGACTGGTAGTCATGGCAGATACCGTAGACATTTCCTATGAGTGTGCTTTAGAAGCTCGATCCCCGTCATGCCACAAGATTAAATGCAGATTGTATTGCCTTTCATCTCAACTGTCAAAATGATTTAAAGAAGCCTGATTAGCAGTCCTCTCTTGCAGACATAAAATACATCCTCGGTGACTTTTGAGGGGATTATTAAACCATCTTGCCTAAAGTAACATCTTGAGCACTTCAAAAAAAAAAGAAGAAGAAGAAGAAGAAGAAAAATCGCTGAACGTCCTAGCTCATGCCTGTAATCCAAACACTTGGGAGGCTGAGGCAGGAGATTTGCTCTGAGCTTGGGGCCAGTCAAGGTTATATAGAGTTCCAGGTAAGCCTGGGAAGGAAACCAAGATAAATACTGCATGTGTGTAACCAGTGTCTTTGGTACAAAGGAAAATAGACTCAGAGTAATTCTAAAAATTCTAGCCCCAGGATCTGATTACCTTGCTTCTGATGAATACAACACTGGCCACCAGAAAGATCGATCCTATTGATAAATGCGTCCCACCTCTCTCTATTCTTTTAATCTGCAGTTATCATTAGAAGATGGAGTCCCAGGAGACTTTAAGATTACAAATCTAAAACAATGTATTTTAAAAATAGCATTCATCTTGAACTTCTCCTGCTGGGGAAAAGCAAGCCAAGAGGAGAGGTTCATGGAAGCAGTGATGATGTCATTGGAATCACCACACCTGAATGCTGCCACAAAGCTTCAGTAACATTTAAGAAGTCTCTCTGTGTAGAACCCGGGCGGTTCCCACACAGCTCCCAACATCTGTTTTGTTGAAAACACTCTGCTTCAGAGCCCACTGCTAAGAATATGCTCATTTAAGACTCAAGGAATGTTTGATTTCCTAGACGTTGCCTTTCTGAGTTCTGCATCCCATTTAATGCTGATAAGCGAACAAGGTTGAGAAAAATCAGCCTGAGAAATGGAAAAGAGAACTTCCTTCCTGCTTACACTGTGGTCTAAACATGTTTATTTCCATTCTCAAACTCAAGACTACATAAAGAAAAAAATATGGCCAGCCTAGAATACAACACTGCACCCAACATAAGAAAACAAATTGAAATAGCTTTGTAGGTGGTAGGGAGGTGGTGGGGGTGAGGGTAGGGGTTGTGCTCCACTTCAAGTAGCAAGAATTTCTTCTACCTGAATTGACAGGCATTTTGAGCACTTTCGATTTAACTGTGTTCAAGGGGCAATTTTATGGTAATGCCATAAGTATGGTTTAGTGAGAACATTTCTTAATATGGTAATCTAGGGGAAATATATGCCTAAGGGACACATTTTCCGTAGAAAGATTTCCTGGACCATATGCTACAGATACATGGGAAACTCATTGGTGATGGAAAGCTATGGCTACGAGAGGAAATTAATGTGGACCAGATGGTGGTTAGGTAGGAAAATGCTCTACACAAATGTGAGAAATCAGCCTCTTCATATCTCTGAAGTGTTAGTCTAATACACACCACATCTCAATTTTCTGTATGTAAATCTAGAGAAACTATGCATCTGATTTACTCAAAAAAAAAAAAAAAAGCTTTGTAATCTTTTAAACTTGTGCTTAAGAACAGAAAGCACAGGCTAGTGACAAATAAGAGGAAGTACTTGATTCTGAAAAAGTTTAGAGCCAGCAGGTGAGAGTATGGAGAACAGCAGCCTCTGTTAAGATTTGCCATGCTTGAGCACGGTTGCTAGAAATCATGGATGTTCTTTCTCACAATTTGATTTTATAGGCTAGATGATTTGTACACATGGTCTGTGAGACTTTGTAACCAAAATGACTTGTGGATATGGTATTGCTTGTCAACAGATTTTCTATAATCATGCAGTCCAATAGGAGAGGACACATTTAATCAATGGACGGAATGTATGCTCTGATTGATAGTCTTCGAAGATACAAAAACTACAGAAGTTAACTTTCATGCATCATGTTGTTTCTCTACATCTACAAGTCATTGTAATTCTAGAGGTTAGAGACCCTTCCCACTACTCTAACTGTTAGCAATGATTGCAGCCGGTTAGAAATAAAAGGGACACTAAGTCAATAAGAGAGAGGAAGAGGGAGGGGGAAAACAGTTAGGGCCCAATTCACTAAAAGGGTTCTTGCATATGTGACTGGTGTTGCCTATACCTTGGCCAACAGAAAGCCGGTACAGTGCACTAAAACGATTCCTTTACGGGAGAAAGAAATTCCATTTTTGTTATTTGTCCCGTGGGCCTAAATTAGCCAGGAAGTGCATGACAGACCAAGGATACAACTACAAGCAGTGTAGGTGCATTCTGGACTGTCTTCCTCATCTATATTCATATGCCCATAGAGGTAGCCATCTGGTCCTTCCTCTTAGGCTACAAATCTTGCACCTACTCCATTGGCTGGCACAAAGCAGTCACTCAACAAATAGTTGTTGAATGAATTAACTAAATATTTTCTTAGTTAATGCCAAGATACTCATCAGTTATGAGAATACATATGTACTGTCTAGAGCATTACTCTTGTTTTTTTTCTTTAAAACAATATATTATGTTTTCCCTCCTTTGGAAGTCTCTCTCTATGCCCCCTTAGTAATTCCTGACCTCTGTGGTGGACCATCACTCATTTTGATAGTAAATTAGTCACCCAGCCTCTGCATACTGAATAGCTCCTACCTGCAATAAGCAGCATCAGAAGCGAAAGGGAAAGCCTCACTCTTTGGTTCCCTTACAGAAGCTTCAGGGCAAGAGTTCACAACAACTGGGCATTGTCCTTTAAAGGATTTCCACGTGTTTATGGAAAAAAATTAATAAATGCCTGCTCCTTGAGGAGGAACTGAAAGATCCACTTGCTTGAAGAGTGATTTTTTTTTTTTTTTTTTTTGGTCTATAAAGTGCATCCCAGAGCTTAATTATATGTTCAAAGAATTCCCTGGGAGTTAAAATTGGTCTTGAACAATTGATGAACTAGTTTCAAGGTCTGGATTTCTCAACATCTGATAAAAATTATTCAGTTATAGGCAATGATGCCAAGTCTGACATTGCAAAAGAACAGGTGCTAAGTGCTTTCCTTCCTGAAGGTTAAGGTTAAGCTAGATGACATTTGCCTTTTGAGCAATTTTCTCCTGGTCTCTGTTGTTCAATATTCCAGACTGAATCATAGATGAGAGGATGTCAAAGGTGGAGAAATCTGTGGACTTGTTTGTTCCACCATGCCTCACATCATGAGGGGGCTGGACAGGAAAGCGTATTGCATAGGTCTGGCTTTTAAGACAGGCTTGAAGATTTCAATAACCCTACTAATTTATGCTAATCGGGCTCAGGGATTGAAAATTTACATAGAGTGCCTGAGCACATTTGTAGACATCTTGACCTCTTCTTTGCATCCAAAATCTTGTGTTTCCCTCTTCTTTTCATCCTACCCTTCATTTTAATCTACCCTTATATTTAAAGACCACCCCTTAACTATCCCTTTATTATATATCTCAAAGACAAAAACTATTAAATGGCTGAACTCATGGTCCAAATTAAAATGCAAAAGCTTAAATTTGATAACACAAAGATGTTTCTGATATTATGTTTTGAAAAACACATTCAACCAATTAAGTTAATAGACATTGGGGATTCGTTTTACAAAACAAGAATGAAACAGCTGCATTTGATTTGCATGTGCAGAAGTCAGGCTACTTCCTGAGTTTCCACCAGTACCTGTGTATTTCAGGCAGAGCACAATTGGGGTAATCCTGTTTGGACATTATGCTCATACTTCCTCATATACATTTTAAAGAAATCAGACTGGGAAATATGTTTAAATGTACAAACTCTTTCTGAGCTTAAATTTTGTTGGTCGATTTCATGCTACACTGCACAGTGTGCCTCATAAGATCCTAGTGTCCATGTCCTATATGGGAATTCTCTTGGGGAGGTTATCCTGACAGCCAAGACTGGGGAGATAGTATGGAGGGGCTACAGTTTATGAGTTAGAGCCACTGTTCTTTGCCTTAAATTTCATGATACACAGCATATTCAAGAAGAAGAAATTTCTTTTCGCTTGAGAATCCATTAGATGCATTTACCAAATTCTTAAACATTAGCATGTTTCATATTATCTGGATTCAATATATAAGACTTGCTTTCCCTTATCAACTGTCCTGTATAAGAACAGTGATTTTTTTTTTAAGCATAGTAAAATCTAGAAATAAGTTTAGTGAATTGGGGCCATGAAGTAACAAAGAATCTGGTTTATGATTAGGAATGAAAACTACAAACTACCAAAGGATAAGTAACTGTAAGTATTAATATTGATATGTATATATATCAATAAACTGACCATACACTGTGTTGAAAGACATTTCATGATCTGGTAGAGGAGTTGAAATGTCTATAAAAAAATGAGGATAAAAATCAATTAAAAAGAAACCTAAGGTTTAAAAATACTCAGGCGGATTAGTGTAATAGATTTCCATGGACATGAAATTATGACAATAACATCTTCCTTACCATTCAGTGCCACGAAGGAATCTGAAAGACAAAAGTGGGGAGGTGGTTACTTGACTGCACACACTCTTGGTGTGGCTTACACAGTGAGTGGGGATGAGCTAATGAGAACTGAGCCAATGGGGAAGCTTCAACACCCGAAAATATTCGTCACTTCCTGCCTGTAACCTAAGCAGCTTCCTATTCAGTCCAATGTCCTATCTCCAGTTCTCTTCTATTGGTGAGTTCACCCCATAGTCACTGCTAACAGGCAGAGAAAACCCAAGGGTGAGAAGAGGAAGTGGTCACTGCATTGACTGTAGGAGAGTCAGGAAGCCAAGCTCAATGTCGTACAAAAGGGGCATGGCTGTAGATAAAGTAACCAGGCCACATCTGTAAGAAAGAACTTTTCTTCATGCTCTCTTGTTTCATCCTCATGAATGAACTAAGAGAACTGTCCAGTATCATAATCGATAATGCTGTGAACTCACTGAATTAAAAATTCAAACCCACACACTTGGGAAGCTGAATATGTAGTTTTGTGTGTTGATATATAGGTTAGACTATTGGTTCATCAAATGCTGGCTCTCTGTGATTTTTCTAAAAGTCCTCTCACAATGAGTGCAGCAGTTATGCAAATGTCCTCTGAATATGGACATATGCACAAGTATGTGTGATAAAAGTAGTTCCCATTCTGGTGGGAGCATGAGGAGAGGAGAAGCCCTCAGGGCAGGAGGCAGGCAGAGGCATAGTCTCACCTTCTGTCCTGGGTGGGGACCCCAGAA